GGGGGGGCAGAAATGCTTGGCACTTGTCCAGAAGAAAAACTCATCATTGACATCACCTCCTCCACAGTGTTTTGCAAAGTTTCAGCATTAGACAATGTTCCCCTTGGAAGTAGCTGTTGTGTTTTTCAGCTCAGTACTGATGAGGATTTCCTCCTATCTACCAGGTGAAGGGACCAGGGGTTGGCCTGCTCGGTTACTCCAAAGGAGCTGATCTGTGTCTCGCCATGGCCGCTTTCCTGAAGAACATCACAGCCGTTGTTTCCCTCAATGGCCCTGTGGCCAATATAGTTATTCCTCTCTGTTACAAGGATAAAACCATCCCCCCTTTGCCCATTGATGAACAACAGGTCAAGGTCATTGATTCCAATATTCTTGATTGTTCTGACATCGCTCTTGACCCCTTTCAAGCCCCTGGCAACCAAAGCCTGATCCCACTAGAGAAAGCTGAGGCACAGTTACTATTCATTGTTGGACAAGATGATCATGTTATTAAATCTGAATATTATGCTACTGAAACCTGCAAGCTTTTGCAGGCTCAAGGGAAGGAAAATTTTCAGATTCTGTCTTACCCTGGAACAGGGCACTACATTGAACCTCCCTTTTTCCCTTTGTGCCCCATAGGAAAGCATGTCTTTTTTCCCAACTGGGCAATTTGGGGTGGGGAGCTCAGGGCTCATTCTAAAGCTCAGGTTCATGCTTGGCTGCAGATCCAGGCTTTTTTCAACAAATATTTAAATGACAACTAATGTGCAAAAAATAATGTGCAAGCAACACACAACATCGAACAACCACCAGATCCGAATAATTCTTTAACAGTTATCAGGTCAAACCTTGTTCACAGGCTTTGATACAATTCCAGTTTCTTCCATGACTTTGCACATCCATAACTCAGAAAAGAATTGGGTTTGCCTTCTCTGTTTTTCTCCGAACATTTTTGCTCAAGTGTCAAGAAAAGGAATGGCAAATAGATTTACATTAGCCCTTGATAAAATAGACCATGCGCAAAATGCACAGTTACATTTTTCATGTTGTTTCTATTGTCCTAATACTTGACAGTACTTTGCGTTTCACTGTGGTCTCTACATGCATACGCTATCCTCAGCTCATATTTTAAAGCAACATCTCTCAAGTGCTAATTTTGAAGCAGGGATTTCACCACTCTTAAGGTGAATGTCTCATTGCAAATGGAAATGTCTCTGATCTCTGCGCTGCTGGAAGTGTGTACAAATGGATGCTACAGCCAGGATGCCGGGGTGTCTCTGGTTAACCCTCGGGAAGGGTTGTTTGCCCTCTGTGCCTTCTTTCTGTCCTCCCTTCAGTAGGAAGTGCTCTGGCTCATGGATACTTCTGGCCCCAAGATGTCATGCAAAAACCTGTTCTGCCAAATCGACAGCCATTGTGATTTTCTCCCACAGGATATGGAACCTTCTCAGCTTTGTTATTAGGGTGAGAATTGTAATAAAGAGACTGAGATTTGAAATCCGTGGTGTCATTTGCTGTGCTTTGGTTAGAAGCAGGGATCTTCACATCCTGCCCACTCTCTCACCCCAGGGTGGAACTTGCAGGAGCTCAGGAGCAAGGGCTGCCCAGGTGGGGAGAGGAGACCAGAGAAGACTGAGACGTAGCCCCCTTATCTTCACTCTTCTGCTGCTCTTTGGACACCAAGTGTGGAGGAGAAGGCGCGCTGCTTAAGCCTTCAGGGCTCTTTCGCTTAGCATCTGCTCGAGCATATGGTCAAGCTGGTGATCAAATCCAGCACTGCAAGCCCATGAGTGTTGTTCTCAACAACAGAAGTTGCCACACATTGAGGGCTGGACACCAGACAACATACCCAAATGTTAGATGACAAAGCACCTCACCTGTTTAGGAGAGACAGGGCAATCTCCATGGGGAACAAAAGACTGCTGACACTCTACCCAATACCTCTGACCACTTAGTATTTCAAAACAGGACAATGCTGAGGATAACCTCAGATGTTTCCACTGTTTCAGACCACTAAGTCAGACATGGGGACCTCTGAGCGAGTGGCGCCTCTACCTGCATCTGCCAGGAGTCAGGGGGCCTGTGGAAGCAGCTCTCCCTTTGCAGTTCCCTTTGAATGAAAAGATCCAGCTCTGGGTAAGACAGACTGAATGGTCTTCTTTTTAAACCCTTGCACAGTCCATTACTGGAAGAGCCAGGTGTTTCCTGACCTGCCTAAAGAGCCTGTGAAAGCGCTCTTCCCTTACCCCTCCTGCACCCCTGACTATCCTTCCCAGTTCATCTGGCTGTGCAGGTGCCAGGGCTGGGCAGAGCCTGGTGGAGACATAACCCAGCCTGCCCAGGCCTTAGGGCAGCCAACATGGAGGAAGAAGAGGCAAGCAGACATGAAGCAATGCCGGGCTGGCGCTGGTTTGGCTTCTCCCTGCCTCGGCTGGGGCTGGGCCTTGCTCCCGTCCCTTGGGTGAGCTGCACGGCCCAGCACGGCCCTGCTCAGGGCCG